AGAGCTGCCCATTGAAGATAAATACCATGCCACGTCAGCTACTTTTTGTCTTATGCATAATATATCATTTCAGTATCCCTCACTTACTAGATCGAATGCAATAAGTCATGTAATTCCAGAGGACACAAATTATCAGACTTGTGGATTCCATTTTGGAAGGTTCCTTCAAACAGAATCTCTTCTGTTCTCTAAACTTCTTTAAGTTGACCCAAATCAAAGCTTCTCTTTGCTTTGCCTTTGGGTATGGTTCTGTTTACTGACTGACATTTTTTTATTTCTTAATCTTTTCTAAATAGTCACTAGTAAGTACCATAAATTATACAAAGATAATATATTCTATGCACAAAAAAAGAGGAAAAAAAAGAAGTCTTTTGCTTTAAACTGAAATCCCTAATTATTATTTCAATGTATCTGAGAATTGGAGCATCACTGCATTCTATAATTTGAGGACAGACAGATGAGAAAACTGCAGTTCAGAGTAGTCACAGAGCTATTCAGTGGGGAAGCAGTGGCCTGAACTGAGGACCTTTGACTCCACTCACTGCCTGATTTCATTCACAGCTGATCAGTATTTACCCAGAGTTTTCATTCTGGGACATGACTTTCGATCTCCCTGGGATTGGCAATGAACTGGGGAGCTCATGTTGATGGGAGCTAATGTTGGTTTGGGGCTCAGGAAGGATTGCTGGTGTGACAGACAGGAGAATGTGTAAGAAGAATATGATCCATTAAAATAGATGTGAAAGAAAGGAGAAGTGAATGGGATTAGAACATGAGGGAGATTTAAAATGTGAGAAAGAGGAGAAAAGGCAGGAAGAGAAGAAAATGAAAAACAAAATAAGGCTCTGAAGATGATAAAGAGTATGGTGACTGTGAGAGAAAATGAGCAAATCTTTTCTTGAAGCCACTGAAAGGGGGAAGAAGAGAGAAGACAAAATGGTGGGCCAGTCACTGCTGTGAGTGAGAAATGACCCACCAGCATCACCTCAACACCTTTAATGTGATGCTAGGGCTGAATACTGAGCATGGTCCTTAGTTGTAACTCCTGAGAATTCTCATCATTTACTAAAGTCACTGGTAAAACTAAAACCTATCCTAATGTACAGACAAATGCAGAGTCTACCTATGGCAGTTGATGAAAAACAGATAAGTAAGTTAGAAGAGATATCCCAACCTTGTAGTTTTTCCCTGGAGCAGGGGTCCTTAACTGGGGTCTCCAGACCCCTAAACTTTCCATGAAGAGATTTCAGGGAGCACATGAACTTGAATGGGATGGAGGAACCTACATCTTAATCTTCACTCACCTCTATCTGAAAGTGAGCCTATTATGAATATAGGCAGGAAATCACAAAAGTGGTTTCCACAGGACCTGTGACTTTGCCACCAATAGATGTCCATCTATCTTGATGATAAAGCAGTGAATAATGGAAAGCTCAGTGTATTTCTCATTTCAAGTAAAAGGAGTTTTAGGCTTATTCTAAAACACAATTTGAACAAAGATAAAGACTGATAGGTTCTAAAACTGTGCTTCCACTTGAACGTAACAAGTCATGCAGGAATCCTATTAAAATGTAGATTCTGATGCAGCAGGTTTGGGGTGGTACCTGAGATTCAGCATCCCTACTAAGATACCAGGTAGTAGTGATGCTGTGGATTTGGGGACCACACTTTGAGTAGCCAGGCTGTAGAACCATTTGAGAAATCAGACTGTGCAGCTCCTTGTTTGGACAGGTATAAAAAATGTGTCAGAGCTACAGATTCCATGAAGCTTGGTTTAAGTTTTATATTTCTTATGAGAATTAGGCAAATTGTTCCCATATCTGTTCTTTCATATCAGTTTGCCAAATCTTTATTATTGTATTTAACAAGTGGTATTATAACCGTTTGTTGCTTACTGGGTGTGGTGATCATGTCTTGATTCTTTATCCCCAGTGTCTATCAGAGCATTTTGCAAATATTAAGTTTTCAATAAACATTTGGCATGGAGTTCATCAATATTATGTTTCTTTCTTGATCCTTGAACTGTGGGTACCAACATTTGAAATACATGATCCTTAACCAAAGCACGTTTCTATTTAATCCCCAAAGCAATTTTTGGGAGATGATGTATCTTCTGCTTAATTTTCCTCATCATCCAAATACTTCTTACTTAGTGACTACTCACCTTATAATTACACTTCCGCTTGTCTAATTTAGCCAGGGAGGCCTGTTTACAATTCAGAACCACAACCAAAGGTATAACTGACATTTCTGGGTGCCTTTCAGTCAAAAGATTTCCTGGCATTACAAATGGTGTTGATAGGATGTACTGATACACATGTCTCAGCCGAAGGCATGTATTTTAAATTGTGGTTCTCCTAAAATGGCCAGAAAATAAACTTTGTGTGCTTCCCAATCCAAGGCATTTGGCCTTAGCCTTCTTAATAAAGGTCCATGTAGGTGTGCTCAAAGGGCACTGGAGCTTTACTTAACTCAAATCCACAATCAGAGTAGAGAAAATGTAAGTAGTTTAGGCTGAAAGGGCCAGGCGGCACGAATACGTATTTATGTTTTCCTGAAAACTCTTCAAAGCTCTTACAAAAAACACACACATTCCTTCTTAGGGAGAAAGGAGTTGAAGGACGTATTCTGGGATTGCCATTTCCAGTAGGATTTCTATCACTTCCCCTGCTCCAGCAGCCCCTCAGCTGGGATCTTCTCATCTGCAAGCTCAGCTTGGTCTTCTCCAGTTCCCAACCAATCTCCTCCTCCAAGAGAAAAGCCATTAAGCAGCTTTCCACACCCTCATCCACTGGGATTCAATATGGTACCATGCTCGGGTATCCTTTCTGGATACGAATTTAAATTGTTATTGTTAGGTGCCATTGAATCAGTTCTGACTCATAGAGACCCTATGTACAACAGAACAAAACACTGCTGGGTCCTGCGCCATTCTCACAATTGTTGTTATGCTTGAGCCCATCCTTGCAGCCACTGTGTCGATCTGTCTTGTTGAAGGTCTTCCTCTCTTTTGCTGACCCTCGACTTTACCGAGCATGATGTCTTTCTCCAGGGACTGGTCCCTCCCGATAACAAGTCTAAAGTACGTGTGATGGTTAAGGTTGTGTGTCAACTTGGCTAGGCCATGATTAGCAGTGTTTTGGCAGTTGTGATGTAGTTTGGCAGCTATGTAATGATGTAATCACCTCCATAATGAGATCTGATATAACGGGATCACCTTCATGATGGGGTCTGCTGTGAGTAGCCAATCAGTTGAAAGGGCGTTTCCTTGGGGGTGTGGCCTATATTCAATACATGTGGACTTTCTGGCAAAGCTTACCTGCCCTCTTGGGTTTGCCAGCCCCTGCAGCTACATGAGTCAGGAGAAGCCTCCAGCCTAACACACGGACTTGGGACTTTCCAGCCTCTACAACTGCGTGAGCCATTTCTTTGACATAAATCTCTCTCTAAATATATTTATAGCCTTCACTGGTTTTGCTTCTCTACAGAACCCAGACTAAGACAGTACTTGAGATGAAGTCCCGCCATCCTGTCTTCTAAGGAGCATTCTGGCTGTACTTCTTCCAAGGCAGATTTGTTTGTTCTTCTGGCAGTCCGTGGTATAGTCAGTATTCTTCGCCAGCACCGTAATTCAAAGGCATCAATTCTTCTTCAGTCTTCTTTATTTATTGTCAGCTTTCACATGAAATGAGGTGATTGAAAATACCACGGCTTGAGTGAGGAGCACCTTAGTCCTCAAAGTGACATCTTTGCTTTTTAACACTTAAAGAGGTCTTCTGTAGCAGATTTGCCCAATGCAATATGTTGTTTGATTTCTTGACCGCTGCTTCCGTGGGTGTTGATATAAATATAAATAGATGGATAATTTTGAATATATAAAATTTAACTATATAATATTTATGTATTTTTATTATTTATATATGATTTAAATTCTTGAGCCTCACATTTAGTTTTCATGCAGAGGTTCTCAAAGTGTGGTCCAGGGACCAGAAGCAGTAACATCACCAGCCCTACCAGAGATCTGCTGAACTGAAAACTTTGGGTGTTGAGTCCAATAGTCCTTATAGTTGATTCTGATGCACACTCAAGTTGAGAATAACTGATCTTGTGGAATCTGATTTTTGGTAAGTTCTTCATATGATTTTAATACAGCTTCTTTGCATATTATCATTAGGGAACCAGTACTAGGACAAAAGAATTGCACTGAATTATATGTACAGACCCCTCAGCAAAGAAATGGACAGGTCACCAAAATACCTCAAAGAGTCCATTTGCTTTGGGTCCACTACCTGAAATTCTATCAAGCTTTCTCATTTATTTTGCTTTGGGCATAAACTTGGTTTCCAGACTATTTTATTGCTAGATTTACTTAATCTTTCTGACCCCAAATATTTATTAGTTCCCTATTATGAGTCAAGGCATCAACAACAATGAAGAGAAAGTCACAATTCATTAGAAAACACTTTTTGGAGGATACACTGATCATTAATGGGGATGATGTGTTTCCTTTCATAAGGGAGACTCAGGAATTGTGCAGATAACATTACATACTGACCATTTAGATACTGACTTTTCTAAATGCAAGAGAGTAGACTCTATGATATTTTGAGTTCTTGGAAAGCCCAGTGATACAAAAAAGTAAGAATGTATTTGCAGCAAGTTCTTAATATCCTTAAACAACGATATAAGCATATCCTGCTTCCTTGTGATATTACAAAGATCTCCAAGAACTATTATAACCCAAAAATAAATTAGTGAAAATAAAAGCAATAAAACATAGCGTCATCGGGATTAGAGAGGAGCTTGTTAAAGATGCTAGAACAGTGGGGCTTTAAATAAAATATTAGTGTGGTGGACACCATATGCCCTATACTAAGTCCCAAGATGATGCCAGTCTGACCTGCTCCTGTCTCCATTTAAGCTATCAAAGAGCATCAAACATTTTCTATAGAAAACAGGTATCTGGCCCTGCAAACATAAATCAAGCTTCTTGGGCTTACCAGTTTAATATGTTCCCGCTTCTGGTATTTTTCACTGTAATATTGTTCTTGCCGAAGATTAAGCAGCTGTTGCTGTTGTTTATCCTTCAAGTCTATTAACTTCTGGGTCATTTCGGCATCTAGGGCAGCAAGATCTTGCTCAATCGTTGAGGAACCATGATCAGGACTGCTAGGTTCTGATCTGCAAAGACACAGAGCTTGATTACAGAGATTGCAGGTTGTAACAAAGTGAAGGGATTTCCATTCACTAGAAATCCTGGTGGCATGGTGGTTAAGAGCTATGGCAGCTAACCCAAAGGTCAGCAGTTCAAGTCTACCAGGCACTCCTAGGAAAGTCTATGGGGCACTTCTACTCTGTCCTATAGGGTCGCTGTGAGTTGGAAATCTACTCAAAGGCAGTGGGTTTGGTTTTTTGGTTTAGAGAGCACTGGGTTTGTTAAGAAAGAAATATTTTGATTAGCCACTTGGGGTAGAGGGTGCAACCCCAAGGACAAGCTCCAACAATAGAGGGTTTCCAAACACAGAAAGGGAATGAAAATTGTGTTGTCCTAAGAAAGAGGAAGGGCCAGAAAGAAAAGCCAGGAGGCTGGGAGCCCTGGTGGTGGAGGTGGTGATAATGATAACTCCTACTTTGAAAAAAAAAAACAAAATAAACACTGTTTAATAAGTATTTTTAAGGTTTTAATGTTTTGTATTTTTTTAAACATGATTATTGCCTGCCGGAGCTCTAGTGGTGCAGTGGTTAAGAGCTTGGCTGCTAACCAAAAGTTTGGCAGTTCAAATCCACCAGCTGACCCTTGGAAACCCTACGGGGCAGTTCTACTCTGTCCTGTAGGGTTGCTATAGAGTCGGAATCGACTCGATGACAATAAGTTTTGGTATTGCCAGCTATAGTTCCCTTATAAAAAATTTAGTAAACTCGATATTGAGTGGATTCTGTTGGGGGAGTTGCAAGGTGCTTCATCTTGCTCCCAGGGTGATGTGGAATGAAAACAGAGTATGTTCAGATGTCACGTGTAGGTTCCCAGCTGATGTGTTCCTTTTCTTGACAATATCTTTTAATAGCAAGGACACGTTGTTAAAATAAGGTTCTTTGGGGTTGTACCAACCCCAAAAGTACCAACCCCAAATGGTACTTTCCTCAAAATGCTTAGGTTACAAGAGAAAGGAGGATGCATTTCTTCATTTTGCAAATATTTCCTGAGTGCTTACTCTCTGAAAGGTGACTTTCTCTGCATTGTTTACAGTCAATCAGATATTTAGAAGTTTAAGACTAATGTTGAAGTAAATTGAAAAAATTCTCACAAAGTTATTATTGTATTAAGTTATATGATACGATTCCTTCAAATTATGTACTCTGTATTACTACTTGCCGGCACTATAGAAAAGGGAACAAAATATTGGGAATGGAGTACCAAGAAGAGGCCTATCCTTTTAATTTATATGAAACCCCTCTCCAGAAAAAAGAGTAAACCTCCTTCTAAGATATCCAGCACATTTTTCATGTGCAGTCAGGTGGAACTGGTAGACAGATTGATCAGAATTAAAAAAAAAAAAGTTGCTATCAAGTCGATTATGACTCATGGAACCCCCATGTGTGTTAGAGTAAAACTGTGATACACAGGGTTTTCAATGGCTTATATTTCAAAAGTAGATTGCCATGCCTTTCTTCTGAGGTGCTTCTAGGTACACTCAAGCCTCCAACCTTTTGGTTAGCAGCCGAGCTGATTAGACACTAATTCCCTTTGCTTTCTCTATGAATTAGACCAGCATCAGTGGTATCACATGGAAAAGGCAGTTAGCTGAAACTGGTGTTGGGATCTTGTTATGTCAAATAAAGGATGCAGAATTCTCTGAAAAGTTTTGCATTTTTATGTGCGGTGTCAAATGAAATGAACGCTGTACAAGGCGCATGGATCCTGATACATCGGAATTACACTGCAGTGCCGAGGCGGCCATCTTAGCGGGAACACAAGGATACTCATCATCTTCTAGAGCAGGAAGTCGGTGCAGCCAGAACATAAACACACAGCCACCACAGCAGCAGAAGCAAGAGCTCTCATTTACTGGTCACTTAACACGTGCCAGGCCCTCCTATAGTTGACGTTTGGTTTTACGACAACCCAAAAAGTAGGTACTGCCATCTGCAGTTACCTTTGAGGAAATGGGGACTCAGTGTGACAAATGCCCAAGGACACAGCATGGAGGCGAAGCAGTGAGACTCGCCTGAAGACAGACAGCTAAGGGAGAGGTGGCAGGCCAGAGCCTGCACCCCTGAGAACAACACCGAATTGTTGCATGCCAGTGTCTGGCCAGAGAGTATCTTTGACTGACCTGCTCTTCACCTTCTGCGGAAAGCCCAGCTGAGAGGACGGATGTTTGAGTAGGAAAAAAATGCAACGGCCATGATGTCATCCATTCATTACTCAGGTGGTTTTAGGATTCTACTGTGTATCTATAGGGTCACTTTGAGTTGGAATCGACTCGATGGCATTGGGATTTGTGTGTGTGTGTGTGTATCTATTTGCGCCCTGGGTGGTGCAAACGGTTACCTTGCTGGGCTGCTAGACAAAAGGTTAGAGGTTTGAGTCCACCCTGAGGTACCTCAGTAGAAAGTCCTGGTGATCTACTTCCAAAAAATCAGCCCTTGAAAACCCTACAGAGCACAGTTGTACTCTAATACATATGGGATGGTTTAGCGTTGAAATTGACTTGATGGCAATGGTTTATTTATTATTTTTATAGTGTATCAAGAGAGAAGGGATGCACAGACATTCTCCTGAAGACAAGCTTCTCCTGCTTTATCTCTGAATACCAGCAGTTTAGGGATATTTTCATTTTTGAGGGACAGAATGAAAAAATAACGAAATGAAGAATGTTTGTGCATGTTCTGTAAAAACAGAATTGAAGGTGTTACCTCTCTGTTGCCTAATGCTGCTTATATAAGAGATAAATTCCTTTGTGATTTAATACCAGGAAAATGTTTGCCTCTCTTAGAAGAGCAATCAAATTTCCTTTAATCAGATAAGAGAAATGATGTAGCCCATATTCCCTTTTCTCAGAAGCTAATAGCTAAATTCAGTGTTCAGGACAGAAGTGATATTAAATGGTTAGTGACATCCAAGATAAATATAACATGAGCCACATATGTAATTTAAAATTTTTAGTAGCCAACTTTAAAAAGGGAAAAGTTTTATGATACACTTTATTTAACCTAATGTATCCAAAATATTAACATTTCATGTGTAATTTATATAAAATCCATAGAAGTCAATATTAAAATATGAGATATTTTTCATGCTTTTTTTTAAAGAAGTCTTCGAGATCTGGTGTGTATTTTGCACTTACAGCAAATCTCAATTCCAGTTAGCCACATTTTGAAGATTTAATAACAACATGTGACTAGTGGCTCCCATATTGGATGGCACAGGTCTCGATGACTGGTATCCACTCTGTCTATGTGAGTGTTGTTTATTTTTTACTATTTTAGTAGGCTTTCTACATACATGTCTTCTCTGATTGTAAAAAAATAAAATTGCTGTCCAAGTCAGAATTGGCAACTGGTAAATTCTATGATAAGTTACTTCAATACTGTCTTGGAAATTTGCAGAATATGGCTTATAAATAAATAAGTAAATGAGTGAATGACTCCATAAATATCACTAAGACAGAAACTTGAGAGAATTTCAGGCCAAGCTTTGCCTGAGTTGGCTGTTTCACTCTTGATGAATGTTAACCCCTATAGCCTTCAATTTTCTCCTTGAAGAAGTGACAAAGTTCATCTAGTTGACCTCTACGGTTGCTCCAACTCTAATAAACGATGATTTTGTTGCTTCTTAGAACTCAGATGCTGTATTTTGATTGTGTTTTTTAGTTAAGCACATGTTAAATCACATGCCACAATACGGATCCGAAAAATACATCTTTACTTCTCTATAACCAGGCATCAAGAAAAGATTATTTGGAAAGGGAAGTGAAAGAAAGGATGGAATACAGCCTGTCTGACTCTTAGCTCATTGGACTGGTAGCTTCTATGCTTACAGTTTCAGGGTGATTTATAATATTTGTAGTTAGAGAATTAAACTATCTCTTAGTGCCAATTATTGCAAGTCAAGCCCTTGGGACTCTTTAATGACAAACAGGATGATGATGTTTCCACAAAGCTTTGAATAATTGCACAATCCACTTTTCACATGATTTTCTACAGCAGTGAAGATCACTGGATTGACTGTGAACATATTCTGTCGGTTTGCTAGCCAAGATAAAAAATCTGAATAACTTGTGATGAGTGATTTGTATATCATAGTTATAGAAACATAAGCAGAGTGATGATTTAAAGCCACTTAAAAGGTCTTTCTCACTTCTGTGATAGTATAATAGTTCATTAGAGTACTACAACACACTAAAGGATACTTTTAAAAATTATAAATTTTCTACATTATACACTTTTTAATACTACACATGACATTTTATTTTAAAAATGATGTGAGTTGATGTTTGTAAAGTTTTTGGGACAATGCCTCATGCCATGCTATCTTAAACAAACAAACAAACAAACAAAAACCAAACTCATTGCCATCGAGTCAATTCTGACTCATAGCGACTCTATAAGACAGACTAGAACTGCCCCCACAGAGTTTCCAAGGAGTGGCTGGTGGATTTGAAATGCCGATTTTTTTGGTTAACAGCCAAGCTCTTAACCACTGTGCCACCAGGGCTCCACTGGTGCTCACTAAATAACTAAAAAAATTAAAAATATTTTTGATGGTTAGCAAAATAGACCCTGAAGAAGGCAAAAATTAGTTGTGCTCTAAAGGAACAGCAATACAATTAAAAGTAACTATTTTACTTCCATTTCCTTATCATTAAACGAAAAAGAAAAATTCAATTTAACACTGTTGGTTAGGGAACTTCATGCTGCAATATACCATTTATTGTCCACAACAAGTTCATATCATAAGTCAAGGAAAGGTTTTTGAAGAAATTGCAGAAATCCACACTTAGAAGAGTAATCTCATAAAATTTGGGAAAGTAAATGAGCAAATTTATCTGGGCAAGGTAATTTCATAGGCCTCATAGTGTATGGATACTAAAGATTCTCACCATCAAGGTCTGTGTACATGAGGCTATAGAGAGACCCCTAGGCCCAAACACAGGAGTCTAGTCACCTGTGAAGATCTTCGCGGGTTTCAGAAGGAGAAGCCAAGATAGCTGAGACTTCTCTTTTTTACAAGACAAGGTGCTTCTACTACTAGGTTCTAGGTACGTGGCAAAAATTTATCCTGGCCAAGTTGGCAGCTATAATATGGGAAGTCAGTCAGTTGGTATTGGGGCCATGAGCTGGAACTCAAGAGTAGAGATTTACTGTATAATTAGTCCCAGAATTTGATTAGATAAAGAAATTCAGTCCACAAGCAAAACTGAATGGAAGTGACTCAAGAGCTGTAGAAATGAAGGGAGCTGGATGGTGTCTTAGGCTGGGTTCTCTAGAGGAGCAAAACTAGTGAAGTATATATATATATATATATTTAACGAAACAAACAAAAACAAACCCAAACCCATTACCATGGAGTCCATTTCGACTCATAGCAACCCTACAGCACAGAGTAGAACTGCCTCATAGGGTTTCCAAAGAGCAGCTGGTGGATTAAAATTGTCAGCCCGTTGGTTAGCAGCTAAATGCTTAACCACTGCACTACTAGGGCTCCATAAATATACATAGGGAGATAAAGAGATTTATTTCAAGGAAATGGCTCATGTAGTTGCGGAGGCTGGCAAGTCGCAAATCCGTGAGTCAGGCATCAGGCTGGAGGCTTCTCCTGACTCACGTGGTTGAAGGGGTTGCAAAATCCCCAAATCAGCAGATCAGGGGAAAAGGCTGCTGACTCCTGGGGTTGTGGGAGCTGGTGAGTCCAAAAATCTAGAGGCCAGGTGGCAGGCTGCTGGTTCATGTCATGGAAGTCAGAGGATGATGAGTCAGATGCCGGATTGAGAGTGACTGAGTTTTGCCAGAACATCCATACGTACTGGATGCAGGCCATACCCTCAAGAATACTCCCCTTACGTCAGATCACAAAATGGAGGATAATTACATTATACTGAGACTCATGGCCTAGCCAAGTTGACCCATAACATTAACCATCACAGACGGCTTTCCTTCTTGTGGTGGTATACTAAAAAACCCATTGCCATCCAGTCGATTGCGACCCATAGCAATCCTGTAGGACGGAGCAGAACTGCCTCAGAGGGTTTCATGGAGGTATAGCTTTAAATATGTCATCCAAAATATCAAAAACCATGTAAATGACTCTCTTTCTTCACCTTATCAAACAAGCGAAAAACACTCATTCCACTTACTTTTTCTTACTATCCTTTTTGGCAGTCTTTTCCAAGGCTGCCCTCCTTCGCAAGTAGTCATTCTGAATTTCATTATATTTTGTAGTGTGTTCTTTGATAAGGTCAGTGGTCTTCTTGTGGTGTCTCTTAACCAGGTCTTTCATTTCTTTGTAGTGTTTCTTTTGAAGTTTCACAAACGATTTCTGTTGCTTTAGCTCTTCAATGGTCTGCACTTCCACTTCTGCAACAAATGATTAGAAGAGCTTATAGACATGGAAGGACTGAAAAGACAGATGTGGGGAGGGGCAGCAACCCACCGTGAGCATTTGTCTGAGAAGGAGGGTCAACTGGTGCTTAAGAACACGGCTTTGATGTCAAACATATCTGAGTTCCAGTCTGGCCCTTCCACATGCTAACTTTGTGACCAAGTTACTGAACTTCTCAAAGCCCCAATTTTCTTACTTGTGATTTATTTTTATTTTTTCAGTTTTGATTACCTAGAAGCAGAGTGCAATATGGGGATTGGTTTGCATGTGATTTACTGGGAGGGATTCTCAGGAGAAGGAGAGTAATGGAAGCTGACAGCTCAGCCTGATCCCTTGGGGAGCCCTGGGGTATGAACTATAACAGAGTTGGTCTCACCTTGAGGCAAGAAGGTTGGCCCTGTAGGGTTGGGACAGTCAGTGGGGGAGGCAGGAGTTCCTGGATGAGAGGGCTTCCATTTGTCTGAGGGCAACTCTCCAGAGAAGGGGAAAGTTGTGAGCTGTTAGCAGCTAACACACTACAGCCAGGAGATGGTGTACCGGGCGGTAAAAGGGATCTGGACGTGGCACTGAAGGCAGCCACTTTAAGGGTAATAATACTTCCACTACTTTATAGGGTTGTTATGATGATGAAGTGAAGAATTCATGGAAACTATTTAACACAGGTTCTGGTGCTATGCCTCTAGAGGCTTGACAAGTGATTATACAGGTTCTGAGGCACCACCACAAAGGAGCACCATCCACGGGCAGACATTGTAGATTTGTATATTTATCACAGCAGTGTTCCAGTATATAGCAGTAAAATATCTTGGGGGAACATCTCTCAATCTAATTTGCATAAAGTCACCATAAGGGTTAGTGGCAACTACATAGTATTTTATCCAATGCTAAGAAAATTTTTTTTTCTCTCTCTTTTTATTTTTAAGATGCATTTGGATGACACATAAATATAATATCAGAAGTGAAATGACAAGGAATATATTCTGTGTTCTTATATCCTGCTCATTTTTTCTTTTTTTTTCTCTTTTTTTAATTGTGCTTTAGATGAAGGTTTACAGAACAAATTAGTTTCTCATTAAACAATACATATATTGTTTTGTGACATTGGTTGCACTAACACTTTTTGCATTTTATTGACGTATTTCATCAATTCTCAAATATGCACTTTTTGATATGGTAACGTTTCTGAAACCTGGCTGCATCTCTTACAGTCAGTGGGCTGTCAGCATTTGTCAGTGTTTTCTGTCTTAGCAGTATATAAACAGCGGGGTGCCTTACAACTGATGGTGTCTTAGCGTCGACGAATTATCATTTATTTGAACCTAGATTAAGTCATAGTTCACATGTTTCCATCCTTTGATTTGAATTTCCATTTTCTAAGAACTAAAAATGTTACCAGAAATATTTACAACTATCAGGAGATTCAGAAATAATATATGCCATGAATAACAACAGACCTGAATAGAAGATGAGATATTTAGTGGATAAACACTAAAATCTGAAAAATAATTTATGTTCCTAAATGCTAACTAAAGTCTTTAAGCAATTGAAATATGCTTCTTTTTAAAAATTTTTTTTTACTGTGTCTATTCTCCTGACATTTGATTCCTTTTGAGAAGGAGGAGGCTGGGGAGAGAATCAGTTACATTTTATTTAATGGTTACCCTCAGGCCCAGACTGACTCATTATGGTTGCATAATAGCTTATTGTATTAAGAATTTATTATTGGAACTGCTGCATTTTTGGTGATACATTCAATCCCACTTCTTTAAAAATGGTTTGTAGCACATAAACTATGGGTAGTTTATCAACAGGGTACATAATGTTCCAACCTATGATTAAAAATCTGTATCTGAAAGGCTATTCTTAGAATATACTCTTAGGTATTAAATTAATGTCCATTTATGTAAAGATAAAATGTCACTCATGAGCAAACCACTCAGAAATAACCACTGCTAATCTACTGGGATGCATCCACTGTCTTTTGTCTATGTGTTTGCGTGCTTTTAAATAACATTTGAATCACGTTCTATGTAAACTTCTGTCTTTTTTATTCTTTAACGCTGAACTGTGTTTCCCAGGGAACTCAATCTTTAAAAGCATGTTTTTTTTCTTTAAATATGTTCCTCAAGTATTTTTTCTATGCATATTTTGGTTAGACTTTTGGTGAAATATATACACATGCATAAAGCATACAAATCATAAATGTTCAGTCCTATAAATTTTCACAAAATGGATATGCTTCAATAGCCATCATCCAGACCAAAACTGAAATATTACTAGCACCCCAGAAACCCTCCTTTTGGTTCCTGCCCCCCACCAAGTATAACCCAAACCTGGGTTTCTAAAGGCATGAATTAGTTTTGCCTGTTTTTGAACTTCATATTCTTTCATGTCTGCCTTCCTTTCTTCAGCATTATGTCTGTGGGTTTTATCCACGTTGTTGTGTGTGATTGCGGTTTATTTACTCCTACAGCTGTTTACTATTCTATTGTGGGACTATATCATAGTTTATTTATTTCCCCTGCTCTTGATGGACATACTGCTAACAGTTTTTGGTTCTTATCAATAGTGCTGCTTTTCAACTGGACTAAACCAAAGCTAAGAAGTTTCCTGAATACAACCAAACACTTTGAGGGACAGAGTAGCAGGGGCAGGGGTCTGGGTGTCATGCTTTCAGGGGACATCTAGGTCAATTGGCATAACAACATTTATTAAGAAAATGTTCTGCATCCTACTTTGGTGAGTGGCGTCTGGGGTCTTAAAAGCTAGCAAGCGGCCATCTAAGATGAACCAATTGGTCCCAACCCATGTGGAACAAAGGAGAATGAAGAACACCAAAGTCACAAGGAAAGTATTAGCCCAAGAGACATAAAGGGCCACATAAACCAGAGACTCCATCAGCCTGAGACCAGAAGAACTAGATTGTGCCTGGCTACCACCAATGACCGTGCTGACAGGGAACAAAACAGAGAGTCCATGAGACTAAATGGGCAGCTCCTGTCTGGAGGTGAGATGAGAAGGCAGAGAGGGTCAGGAGCTGGTTGAATGGACATGGGAAATCAGGGGTGGAAAGGAGGAGTGTGCTGTCATAGTATAGGGAGAGCAATTAGGGTCACGTACCAATGTATGTATAAATTTTTGTATGAGAGACTAACTTGAATTGTAAACTTTACACTTAAAGTACTACAATAAAATAAAAATAAAAATAAATAATGCTGCTTTTGGTAAATATGCGCATTCATTTTGTTGTGTATTGGGTCAAGTACTTTAAATGTTTTTTAAGATTCCAATACATACCGCTAATTGTATTAAAGAAAGTTTGTTCCAATTTCAGTCCTACTAGTTATGTAACTAACCAAATATAAAATATTTCCAAACTGAATCACAGCTCTCAAACTCATCACAAATGGATCATATTCTGAATATGTAAAATACAGCGTATTGTCAGCACTTTGGGAAAACGTGTTCCTCAACAGTGGGTCACCGTTCCAGTATGAAACTATTCTTTGATTCTAAAATAGGTATCTTGTGAAATTATGTTTTTATCCTAGCAGGGTCCTGTCTAACAAGTAAGGCTACTTCTCTGTCATTACATCATGTTACTCAGCCTAAACAACGACTGTATATCTGTAGCTTTTTTAGGGAAGAAATAATACTGGGGCTATTTTTCAGAGATGAACAGAAATCTCCTCTCCTCTAAATGCTTATACTGCACAATATTCAGCTGCATAATTCCATGGCGGGAGGGTGGTACTTACCTGTTAGGACACTCTGAATAAGATCTTCTGTTTTTGCAGGTGCCTTTACAGAACCTGCAATAAAGAGACAAAATAAATAGCCTTCTTTAACTTCTTTTTAAATTTTATCCCTTCTGTAAAACAGCAATGTTTGACCCTTGAGTTGAAGTCTCTTTATGGATAAATTACAAATTGTGGGGGAGAAATAGTCTAAAAAAATATTCTAGAAAAGATCTCCATTTTTGCATCTCTGAGGCACACCAAATTAAATGTGAAATTGTATGCTCTATAGGGAGAAGAAAGCACATCTTTAGCCTTTGAATCAAAACTCCTCGCTGGTTTAACAAGTTCCATCTAGGCAATGCTATTGCCACCTTCTGGCAAAATCAGGAATAGCAAGTACTCTTTAAAAAAAATTATGGTGTTTTAGGCAAAAGTTTACTCAGCAAGTTAGGTTCCCCTTTAACAATTTTTATGCAAATTATTCCACGCCATTGGTTGCAGTTTTTACAATGTGTCACTATTCTCATTATTTCCATTCTGTTTGTTCTGTTTCCATTAATATACCCTCCCTTCCCCTCCTTGCTTTCTCACCTTTGCTTTTGGGTAAATGTTGATTGTTTGGTCTCATATAGTTCATTGTTTAAGGGAGCACATTACTCATGGGTGGTATTGTTTATTTTATAAGCCAATCTATTATTTGGCTTAAAGGTGACCTACAGAAATAGTTTCATTCCAAGTTCAAAGGGTATCTTCTGGCCATAGTCTTGGGGGTTCCTCTAGTCTCTATTGGCCCAGTAGGTCTGGCCTTGTTCAGAAATCTGAGTTTTGTTCTACATGTTTCTCCCATTCTATCTGGGACCTTCTATTGTGTCCCTGGTCAGAACAGTCAGTAGTGGTAGCCAGGCACCATCTAGTTCTTCTTGTCTCAGGTCAGAAGAGGCTGTGGTTTGTGTAGCCTACTAGTTGTGTGGACCAGTTTCTTCTTTGAGCCTTTGACTTCCTTCCTTCTCTTTTGCTCCATATGAATAGAGACCAATAGTTGTATCTTAGATGGCTGCTTGCAAGCTTTTAAGACCCCAGATTCTACTCACCAAACTAGGAAGCAGAACATTATCTTTGTGAACTATGTTATGCCAAGTGACTACTTTGACCTCCGTGACTATGGTCTCAAGCCTTTTGGCTCAGTAAACCAATCCCGCGAGTTGTTTGGATACGTCTAGGAAGCCTCCATAACTGTGCCCCCTCTGTGATTTTTTGCAAGTAGTCTTTTTAAGATCAAATGCTGACTGCTTCTCCGAAGAGAGGAAGGTGAGACTTTAGCTTGCTTACTTTGCTTACAGGAAAGAATGATTGCTGGAAAAATACATCGTGTTTTGGAAAGTAGAGGGCCAATGGAAACAAGGACAATCCTCAGTGAAATAGACTGACATGCCAGCCACAGCAATGGACTCAAACATACCAGTGATCACGAAGATGGCACAGAACCAGGCAACCAGTCATTCTATTCCACATAAAGTCACTGTGAGTTGGAACCCACCCAAGGGCAACTAACAAAAACAACATGAGGGCAAAATGAGATAATCCACGTGAAGGACGGCACCTTGTAGAGGCTCAACGTTACTGAAGAGTTAGTTAGAGAGGAAAAGGAATTCCTGGCAGGGACTTAACCTAAAGTAGGGAGATAGGGCTAAGAAAGTGCTTCTAAAGCACTGACGTTTACAAATCGCTTGAACAATTCTTCACAAGCCCTGCCAGGGATGGATCACAATCCATCATGAAATAAAGAATTTTTGTGTGGCTTCATGAGTTATCACCAGAACCAGACAAACACTTATGAGTTTCTCTTAGCATTCACTCATTCACTCATTCATTCATTCCACATTTAGGGAGTACCCCTAAGTCCGTGCACCTTTGCTCCCTTGATGCTTTAGCCAACCAAATCGTGCTGTCTCCTTCAGTGGCAGGAATAAACTGGACACTCATAGTCAGGTTGTACAGCTCTCTTTTCATATTGCTTACCTGGAGCTGCCTGGCTGTGCAGAGCCTGGGAGGGGGGCTTGGGTGCCAGCGATGCCGTGTGATTCACTCCGTTTTCTGCTGGAGTTGTCCTTGCTTCACTTGGAGCCTCTGATGGTGTTTCCCCAGGATCAGCCTGAAATCACAGACAGCCTTTCATTTTCCACTTTCTTTATTATTCTTTTATTGCCTTCCTAAACCAACAAGGCAATATTTTGTAGCATTTCACAACGCATTTGGAGTCTGAAATATCAAATTTGAAACTGGCTAGAAAGCAGGGTAAAAACAGCATGGTGTTGCACCATGATTGTGGAAGGATAACTTCATTTGAGGGCCGGATTTTTATGCCTTCCTATCTCCATGTCCTTGGAAGTGCCCTTCCACACTCACTCTGGACCTGACCATGTGATTTTCTTTGGGCAAATGAGAGTAGCAAACTTGACCCAAGCAGAGGCTTGAAAAAAACCTTGCGAATTTCTCCTTTTTCTCTGATGCCCTGCTAGAGCCTTGGAGGATAAAAGAGTATGTGGAGGAGGGTTGAGTTACCCTAGCCAAGGCTTTCCTAGACCAGCCAGCCCCTAGCTGAACACAAGTAGATGAATAAGTCCAGCCAAGATCAGCTGAGATGGGTCCAGTTCCACAGATTGCCCAGCTGACTGAATGACTCAGAAAAAAATAGTAAGTGGTTGATGTTGCAAGCTACCAAGTTTGTGGGTTGCTTGTTATGCAGCAATAGCTAACTGAGGCAGTAGTCAAGAGCACAGATTCTGGAACCAGACTTGCTGAGGTTCAAATCCTGGCCCTACCACTCTCTGTTGTTGTGTGCAATTGAACTGATTCCGACTCATAGCAACCTTACAGGACAGAGTAGAGCTTCCCTATAGGGTTTCGTAGGCTGTAATATTTATGGGAGCAGATGGCCACGTCTTTTCTTCCGCAGAGTGGCTGGAGGGTTTGAAACACTGACCTTTTGGTTGGCAGCCGAGTGTTTAACCATTGCACCACCAGGGCTCCTTCCTACCAGTGTAATATTGGGCAAGTCTCTTAATTTTTTGTTCTTCAGTTTCCTGATCTTTATAGAAGAGAATATGTATCTACCAGGATCATAATATTATCTATCTTGGAAGGTTATTTAGCAAATTAAATAAGTTCACATATATAGAGTGCTTAGAACAGTTTCTGGCACAGAGTAAATCCAAAATATGTGTGTTAAATAAATAAATGAAATGAAATGAGTAAAACATTTAAGCTTGCACAACACTGCCAAGGAATATTAATAATAAATGCATCCAATCTTATGAAATCTTCATTCCACCTCTCCAACACTGGGGCCTGAGTAATGACGTCCTCTTTTAAGATGCTTTTCAACGCTCATAATGCTTTGCAACTCTTTTTTTCTTTTTTTTTTTTAGAACTGCCTTCTTTGTCCATGGCAAGCTTTCCTGACAATGAGGGTTTGCTAATGGTCTACTTTGTAGTACATTAGGCAAACAAAAAAATAGGAAATAATCCAAAGATATTTGGAGCCCAGTATTGTGACATTTTGTTATAACAGCAGATGTTGAGGGATAATATTTTCAGCAAAAGGTAAGATGAGAATAAAATAATGACAGTGATTGTCACCAGTGGCATTAATCCCCCAAAGCAGCTTTAAAATGAGTTTCCAAACTGCTTCAAGCAATGGCAGAATTTACATCAATTAAACAAGTACTCTCTGCTTCTCTGCCTGGCATAAGTCAGGCTGCGCAGAGGTGAAGGAGACGGGCTTTGACACCAATGGCTGGACATCAAGTTGGAAGGAGGAGCCTAAACAAGTAACCTAGACTTACTTGTTGTGGTGGAACTCCAGCTTTTGAAAAATGGCTACTTCAGATAGTAAGTTCTGGTAGAGCTGCATTATTTAATTACATTTATCGGGAAAATTCTCCCTAGAATGATTGTGTTGAGGCGAGGCATGGTACATCTCTCTTTGACCAGTGAGAAATTGTAAACTACAGGCTCATGGGCCAAATGAAGCTTACACAAGTGTTTACTTTGGCCTACCCAGCACTGTCAAATTTTTTACATTAAAAAAAAATGAATTCTTGGATTCTTTTGAAAAATCATATGTGGCGACACTGAGCCTGTATTCCCACATTTGGCTAGAGCTGAGTATGGCTGCCCTTGACTCTTGTAGGCATGTGAGGTTGTGGGAAACCCTTGAGACAACTGAAAAGAACCAGAGATGTTTGGTCACAAAATTCATAAAGGAAATGCATCTCCAGTGCACAGGAGGGACTGAGGCAAAGAGAATGTCAGAAGGAGCACTGGGTCATTGGCTGTCCCTTGGGCCTGGTCCTCTGTCTTGATTTCAGTAGAAGTGAGGCCTCCTAGGAGTTTCTGGGTGGTGTAAAAAGTTAACGTGCTCAGCTGCTAGCCAAAAGGTTGATGGTTCAAATCTACTCAGAGGCACCTTGGAAGAAAGACCTGGCAACCTACTGCTGAAAAATCTGAGCCATTGAAATCGCTATGTAGCACAGTTCAATTCTGGTACACAGGGGTTCACCCCAAGTTGAAATCAACATGATGATTAAGATTAAGTCTACCCAGCCTCAGCAGTTTTGGGGGGCACCCATGGTTACTGCTTTGGAAACAGGGAGTGAAGTTGCCCAAATTTCATGGGCATTTGCCCTTTATTTCTAGACACATTTCTGGAACCATGTGGGGGAAGGAATTAGATTCTTTTCAATGTGACAGCTGACTGAAATTAACCCATGGCAGAAAGACAGGAAAAAAAAAAAAAAAAGAGAGAGAATTTTGATGGAGGAAAGAATGGAGGTGATAGGGAAACCCAGCTTTCATGAAGGTAATAATGTGTGGCATCTTGTTGGCAACTAGCTTTAGTGTCTCAGAGACATCAGGGGAGAGGCAGAGTCAAAATGAATCCAGCAAGCTTATTTTCACCTTGCATCCTATTTACACACATCCCCAGTGAGTATATGCTTTTTGTAAAACCAAGGCCAACTTTTGATTGAGTCAAACTCAAAGAAAGAAAGAAATCTCTGCTTATCAAGGACATGTAAGACGAAGCCCCTATTTTCCTGAGACTGACATAATGGCTATAAATATGCAGAGATTTAAAAGAAAAGCAAATACGTGTTGAGTAAAGACACAGGCCAAAGTTTTATAGTTACAACTGAGGCTCGTAACAAGGGTTGGTGCTGAACTTGGAAGTAGGCTTTGAAGAACTGTTTAGCCCAGGGGTCACACACTCAGATGCCTCCAGGCAAGGCGGGCTGCATTGCACAACCCCAGAAGGAGCCATTCACACTGTACATTCACAGGCAGTTCGTGGAATAATGGAAATGAGTGAAGAGCAACTGGGTAAAGTGAGGCCGTGTCCAGAGCTGGAGAGATCGCTCCTGTAAAGGGGGGCAGCTGCCACTCAGTTTCAGCTGGTTGTTGCCCAGGCTTCAAGAAAAGCTGGAAAACAAAAATTTTTATGTGAAATCTCCCAATTTTAAAATACTGGGAGGCCAAACAAAACACATTTTCAAACTGCATTTGGCCCACAAGCTGCGCACCTGTCCCCTCTGCTCAGAGGAGCAGAGTTTGCCTGGAATTCTGGATTGCTGAAGGGAAACAGGTGTGCTGGAAACGTAGCGGGTCAGGGACCAGCTAGTCTGTAGTCTGTCCTCCTCACCTCCCCACCCCTGTATCTGAAGGGAGCTGCGAGAAGAGTGTGAATAAGGAGGAAATTGAATACTGGGCTGAGGATTTGGGCATCCTTGTGTAGTATGACACTTGTCAGAGACCTCCTAGATTTTCTAGAAACTAATTTCATATATTAGTTTAGTGAGAATTTATAATGACAAGTATATCAGACTGATGTTTGAATATTTTTGCTAACTAAGGGTTATATGTACCAATTTTAATTAACAGCATTTATCTAGTGGAGATTTATAATAGAAGCAGCTGTCCGGCACCACCCACCAGATCCTGTTAACACACACCAGCCTCATCACCCAGTCAGGGTAGACAGCGCCGTCAGCTCCATAAGAAATCAGACATGTTATTAAGAGTCTTAAGACTTTATTCAAAGCCATGTAACTTGCTAGAGGTCATGCAGTTAAGAGCAACGCTGTTATTTGAATATGTGTTAGAGTTCAAAGAGCAAGTCCTTCCTACTGTAGTAACCAGCTGCCATCTGGTCCACTCCGACTCACGGCAACCCCATGTGTACCAGTTTACCTTTTATACTACGGTAACAGCAACTTAAGGAACTGCACTATCAACTTAATTTGCTTCTGAGCTAGAGGAAGATGTGAATTTAATTATAATTCTCAAAGAGCTTACTCTGTTGCATTAAAAAAGCATTCGTATATGAAAAGTTAAATAAATGGTTAAATACAAGAACTGAAAAAACAAGAAAGCACTTCTAGTAGTGCGATACTATAATTTAACATTGCGGCATCATGATTGAAAGACTGAATAATTCCTACTATACAAATATGTGAGCTGAAATGTAAAAACCCAAAGGCTTTCATTTGTCAAACATTCTTTTTTAAGAGTTTGAATAAAACAAGCATGAACTCCTTTCACGTGACACTGGAAATCACTATGGCAATAAAGAATTAGAAATGTCATGTTTTCCTAATTTAACTGAGAGACTGTTAGGATTCAATCAGACGGATTTCATGGGAATAAGGTTCAGAAGATAGTACTTCAGTTGCACTAAATTTTGCTTAGCAGGCTAGAGAACAGTGTGTTGAAGAAACCACAACGGAAGTAGGCTCTTGCCCTCTAGTGGCCAAACGAAAGCATTACAATACCTTTTCCTTCCACACGTACTTGGAGATGATTTTTTAAAGTCATGGTACTTAAAAAAATAATATTTATCTATTTTCAAAATGAACAGAAGTGTCTTGTAAATACCCTCAAAATGTATCAATAAAAGGATAACTAAAAGGGCTATTTTGATAAGTTTTACAGAGTGAGGGGATGCTACCTGGTATGGTAGTTGAGAAGATTTGAGATTTGAGAAGATTCCGAGATGAGCTCAGAAACCGCTGCTTTGGAGCCCTACATCCATCCGTCTCCGTTAGAAGCTGAGCACTTAACCACTGCGCCACCACAGCTCCTCAAGTCCTATAAAAC